GTCATATAATGGGAATCAGTTATAGGAACCAGCACAGCTTCCTTTTTCCCCCTGAATAAATTCTAAACAGTCCTTAGAAAATGAATTACCAGTCTGCAAATCAAGATGACACATTTTTCAGCTATAAAACTAAAACTACTTTCAGACCACTTAGATAAAAAAAAAAAAATAGAGAAAAACAAAAAGGCAGCAACTTTGTTGTTGTGTTACTGTCAATAGTCTTGGATGGCTGTGGCTCCATTTTAGCAGTTTGACCTTGTTTAGATCAACCTGAATCCATCGACAGCCCTCCCTGACGGCTTCCCCCAGCCCATCCCAGAAAGTGCACACCCTGCACGAGCGCATCCAGCTGGAGATGTGCCAATGGAAGTAATTACGTGATGAAACTATTTAACTTGGACTAAAATACTCTCCCCAGGTTCTTCCAAGCCGTGTGTCTTATGTCTTGTGGAGGCAATTTTACATCGTGCCTTTAAAGTACAGTAATGGCCACTTGCATTGACAGGCTCCTCGTAAAAGGAGAAGCCCCAGACCTTGCTCATGAAGTGCTATTGATTTTCCCAGTTCCCCGCTAGAGTTGCCAAAGATACAACGCTGTTGTTAGGGAGAGAAGACACTTTGGCCTTCGATATCACAGGAGGGTTCCAGTGTAAGCACGGGCGTCGGTGGGTTTGGGAGATAAATAATGCAGTTGGGGGATAACTGCCCATATTATCGTGTCAGTTTGACGTGACTCAGCACTCGCTCCTGCCAAGCGTTTCTTCAGTGCCCCCACTGGCTGCTGAGCTTCCAGCCAGGTGGAAGGGCTGGTTAGATTGTAAAGGTCCCCTTGCATTGTGGTGAGAAGCCAAAGTTTGTTTATCTTAGGCAGTGATGGATGTTGAGCAACAGGAAAACTCCCCCAGCGTTCCTCGCTGCATCATTCCCAAAGCTATCCCATTGGGAGTGAGGCTTAAACACCCTGTGCATCTTTCCAGTGCTCCTTGGGGGTGGAATCTCTGCCACACCCCTTGTCTCGTGTCCTTAGCACTGCATCAGAACTGCCAGTTGTCTGCTCACACCGACTGGCAAGATGCCTTTGCAGAGCCTGGTCCTAATGCTGCAAATCCTACTGGGTATCCTCTAAAAGCAGAAACTTTTCCCTGTGGGAATTACAATGAAATCTTAACGGATTGTGCTTTTGTGACTGTCGCGTTATTGTAGCCAATAGATAATTATTATTTATCAGTAGGGGGGAAAAAAAAAGGACTGGCTAGGAAAATTATAGCTATGATAATTAGTTTTTTGATGACATTAAGCAATTAATATAATTTTATGTTTTCCATTTTGAAGTTTAGGCAAGGTCGCCTCTGTTTTCATTTCTGTTCCAATGTTTGAGTCGGTTTAGTCCTTCAGAGGGGGTCGGTTTGGGTGCTGTGGAAGGTGCCACCACCACCAGGCAGCCGGGGGATGATGCTGGAAAGAAATTGCTCTGCATTTCCCTCCACCTTCCCCAGGTATATCCTTGTTCTGAGTGACCTGAGTCAGCTTTGAAGCCCTGTTGCCCTTTTATTTGCACCCTGATGAGCTGAGGAGGAGAGAAAAAAAAAAACAAACAACAAAAGCCCCGAGCAGGGATTATGCTGGAAGAAACATTGCTCACTTGTATTCCTGACTACACAGGCATCTCTCCCTAGTGGAGCTTGGATCATGGGGAGGGGAAGAGCTGATCTCTTCCCACCTCATCTCCAGGGCTGCATTTTGGCTTAATCCCAAGGGAAGGATTAATGTCGTGGCCACCAGATGTCCAGGAAGGCAAAGTGGGCTTTTAAAAACTGTGATCTTTGGGTTCGGGCATTTTCTTCCAGATCTGAAGAAAAAAAAATTGTCTTATCTGACCTGAGACCACCCTGAAATGTAAGTGCTTTAAAAGGAACAGCTTTACTGGGGATCCATCTCCCTCAGTGTCCTGTTTCCATTGGTCACAGTCGAGGGACAGAAATCAGTGTGGAGCAAATGTATCATGGTCCTCCCCCAAATTACCCCCTCAGCCAGAAACCCGCCTTAGGAGAGTGACCCTGGTGGCTCAATTCACAGCCAGGCCTGTGTTTTCCTTCCATTAATGTCTCCAGTTTCTGTTTTAACCATTGAAACGTTGGCATTCGCACAGCTCTGCAAGGAGTTGATGTTCAGCTTGTTAACAAAGTGTGGGAATCATCTCCTCTTGGGGTTTGGATTTTCTTTTCTTTTTTTTTTTTTTTTTTGGTCAAACAGTTGCAAATTTCATTTGATGCCTCCTGGATCTTTTTTTAAAAAGGAAGGAAGCCTTAAAAAGTTAACACTGAGGTAGTGGCAGTAGATTGCACATAACAGAGGGATGGTGAGGAAAACTAGGTTTGTCTTCTCAGTTGTGATTTTAATATTCCTGTTCTTGTCTCCAAAGATTTCTTGTTTCTCCTTATTTTCCATATTTAAGGAGCATAAGGCAGCAGTGCTCTCTATTGGCATGTGTATTTGCCTTTTGCCAACCGTCTTTGAAAGCAAAACTCTAACCAGATTTACTTTCGACAGCAGCGAATATTTTGGCCCATTTTACTGCCTGCAGAATGCCTGGAAAGTTTTAAATTAATGGCAACGAATGAAGAGAAAAGGAAATCAAGGAGCCATCTATTCCCTCAGACAGAGACCTATTTCCCCTCACATTTCTGTATTTTCTACCTGCTCTGGCTGAGAAAACATTTAAAAATGTGACAAGCACCAAGAATTTCCCTGTCCTTTTACAGTGTGCATCTGATTACAGTTAACTGGACATTTCTCTTCACTGCTGCACGTATGCTAAAACTTTGAGTTTCAGTAATTAAACTTGCAGTACAATCTTGGGTCATATTATGCTGTATTATCCTTTTAACTTTATTGTGATTGATTTGTGTCAACCTTAACTATACTCACTAGGAAGTCAATAGATAAAGATCAATGAGTTTTTATTTCTCCCAGTTCTTTATTAGAAAGAATAGATTGGTTAAATAACACAAGTAATAGTGATGATATGGTTTCCCTCAGCATTTTCTACTCTGAAACAGGTGAAATATTTTTCAGAATTTGATCAGAACAACCATATTTGTGTTTTCTTATATTTTCTGGCTATTTTTCTGTACTTGATGCTCTAAACTCCTCAAACTTACAGAAACACAAACACAGATGTTCTCCCTGCATAGAACTTCCCACTGCTTTGCTCTGGAGGAGGAACTCCTGCTACCAGGATGAATCTCTACTACCATGTCCATTTATCTCCCTATTTCCCATCTGGGGTATCTGTTGATCTAATTGAATGGGGATTGTGCCTCTGGACAGCAAGGATGCAAAAAGGGAATGCTCCTGAACTCCTGCTCATCTCCTGCTGGCTGCATTTTGAGCTGGAACAGAAGAAAACAGACCCTGTGAACTGTGAAATGACAGCACTGGTTTGGTTTGCACCTGCTCGTGGTCTCTTGAGTGACCACAGAGATCTGTGATTGCATTGTGCTTTAGCAGATTTGTGCTGTAAGGGCTTCTCCGACAGGAAAAAATATCCAAGGAATACCAAAAGTAAAATCTGGAGCCACCCAGAAGCTGTGGACAATTTAGGATCAATTTAGGATGGCAGACCCTGTGCTAACACAGCCTGTTGAGCTCCCGTTGACAGCAGTGTGAGATCTCTGCTTCAGCAGAAGAGCACAGGGAAGCTCAGATCCATCAGGCAGTTCTGAGAGGGAAATTCTCTCCCCACAGAGCATGAACAGTAACATCCTGATGCAAAATTCACTAGGAAGCAGGTCGAAGTGTCAGAGCAGTTATTATCAGTAACCTGTTTCTCATAAAAACATAGCGAAGGGAAAACCATCTTGTTCCTAAGATTTATAGCAACTTGACTCCCCGTGACAAGTGATGGAAAGCTTCCCTGCCATGCATATTACACTTTGGGTGGTGACCCCTCAGAATATATCTCCATTTAAGTCCTTCAGTACTGTGCTGGATGGAAACCAAGTGGCCAGATGCTCTAAGCTGCTTTTTTTCATTAAAATCTTTCATCTGGACGTTTAGCTCGAAGTGCATTCACAAGATGACTGGTGTGCCCTGTCCTTGAACAGGAATCCAAGCTTTGGAAAGGATCAAAAATCAAGTCTCTGCTAAGAACAGCAAGTGCATTCCCAAGCCACAGCATTATGTGTCCCGAGGAGCAGGAGTGGGGTCTCTTTGCCTCACTGCATCCATTCAGAACGCTACGTTCTGACATCTAAACTAAGCAGCTTTTAGAAATAACTTGTATCTGTTTGCCAATGGGTTTATGATCCATGTTTATACAGGCTATAAATCCTTTCCAGGAATTATATAGAGGTGCCCTGCTTTGCTCTTCTGAGCTGTTTGGTTTTTTGCTGTTACTTTACTTATTATTTTTTTGTGTCCAGAATGCTCCTGGACTGCCGATCTCCCCAGAGTAGGTTCTGTTCAGCCACCTCAGGTATGTGTTGAGTGGGAGTTGGACTCGATGATCCTTGTGGATCCCTTCCACCTCATCATATACTGTGGTCCTGTGATTCTGTGAGCTGTAAACCAGAGGTTGAGTGGCGCAGTCGGCTTTGAGAACACCCATCTCGTGATAACGTTACAGGCCAAAGATAGTCCGTGCTGCTCAGAGCAGGCTCCAGTCTTGGAATGTTTGTGTTTGGGCACCAAAATTAGCTTTTCCTGGTGGTAATTGCTGCTGCAGAGGCCCTGCTGTCAGCATCCATGTTGACATTTTCTGTCTGAGGAAATCATGGGGTGTAGAGCCGGGAAACAGCCGCCATTTTGTGGCACAGCCGCCATTTTGTGTCTGGGGAAGCCCAGGGGAGTGTAGCGGGGGAACAACCGCCATTTTGTGGCACAGCCGCCATTTTGTTTCTGCGGAAACTGTGGAGCAGGGGACTTTGTGGAGACTTGAGGGGCTTTTTGGGGAGAGAGGGGGAGTTACAAAGTATTTGCGAAGGGGAAGTTGTGTTTGATGGTGTGAGACCCCCTGAAATTCAGGAAACCCCTTAAATTCGGGGAGCACCCCACAGTTACGGAGGACCCAAATAAACCCCAGGTTGGGGGAAATAAGAGGGGTGTGAGGGGAGTTTGGGGAGGGGCCCAAGGGTGGGACGAACTCCTTCTGCCGCCCAGTCCCCACTGGGTGGGCACAATTTGGGGTTCCTTCCACAAACTCACAAATTTTGGGTGTTTTGTTAAAAAAAAAAAAAAACCAAACCAGCAGCTTCTCCCTCCTCAGCCAGGTCTGACGGATCCCTTTCCTCACGTTTCCAGCTCCCATCGCTGTCTGTATTTCCTCGTCACGTGTCATCCATCACTCCAGTCCCAGTGCACCTCCTCCATGGTTTCTGATGCAAAGGTAACCCCAGCCTAAATTAGGTCTGTGATTTTCCTCCGTTCCCTTGTTGTGCATAATGTTTTCCTCCTTCTTTTTGCCCACTGGGAGGTTTCTCCTGGGTGTGCAGCATCTCAAATCTCCTGTTCTGTGCAGGTGCAACTGCTGGACTTGATGTTGGCCCACCGGAGACTGTTGATGTGAGCATCTCTCAGTTTGAAAAGCTGCTCTCCCGTGCCTGCCTGGCACACAGGGAGCCCTCTCCAGCATATGCCATCCCAGCCTCAGGTGCTGGCACAGCCTGAATCCTCATCTCCACTTCGTGGCTCCTCCTTAATCTCCGAGGTCGGAGAAAAAGTTTCTGAGGTTTATTAAGAAAACCCTCTGAATTAATTCTGCCTTTGTGGGGTCAGCCTGTGAGCCTGGAGCACACCTGAACCAAGGAGCAAATTAAGGTAATTCTTAATCGAGGCATAAAAACGTAATACCCAAATCTTGGAGCAACAAAATTACTGCTTTTAAAACCTTAATCTATTTTACTTCTATTATTGAAGCAAAACTCTAAAGACACAATATAGATTAATTCTATGATTTTTTTACAGCCACAATTTTATTATAAGTTTTTATATTTTAATAGATAAGGAAGTTATTTAAATTCTGTGGGCCTTGTAGCCTTCATTCAGGGAGGTCTCCTTTTGCCACTCTCCCTGTTGAGTAAAATCTACAGCCCTGAGCTTTTTAGCTTTTGTTGGGACAAATACACATTCCTCATTTTTGCTTCTGCTCTGATGTATTTTAGTAGAAAAAGTTGAGCCACACAGCCAGGTGATTTGAGAATGAAGATTACAGCAGTGCTTTGGGTAATACGTTGTACTAATTTCAATTTGGACAGTCCTCCCTTGGAAAGGTTTGGGAGTGGAATATTCAGGGTCATTCTCTAGCCTGCAATATAATCATTTTGCCCTGCTTTCAGTATATGAGGTTCTTCCCTTCCTGTTTTTCTTTGGTCTAATGGGGTGTCCAACAGACCGACCATCAGTTGCACTTGGTTACCCAGCTCTGAAATCAGATGAGATACTTGGGAACCACACACGTCCTGCTTGGGAGTTCATGATCAGTTTGTTTGGTTTTTAAATGCTTCTTACCTGATGCTTGGAAAAGGTGGAATAAAGAAAAAATAAATTTGCAGGATTCCTAAGGGAGAAAATTTTTCTTTTTTAAATTTTTTTTTCCAAGCCAATTTTAAATTTTTTTTTCCAATTATTATTCATATACATATTATTATGTACATGAATAATAATTAGTAATTCAGTGAATCTCTGGAATATGGGATCTTTGGAGTCACTTTCTTCCCTACCCAGAGCCTCACAAGCCCCTTTCCAATCTCCTTTTCTCATTTGCTCAGCAAGTTATACTTTTAGGAAAACTGACATGCACACTCAAATACATTAACACGTTGTTAAAGCAGTTTTACGTTTTATTTCCTTTTGTTATTCGTGGTTTCAGGCAGAGGCTTTGGCCAAAGTCCTGATTTCTTGTCCTCGAAAAAGACCACTATTTATGTATATTTATAGTTTGGAAGCTATCATTTATTTTCATGCTCCATCACAAAGACCAGCAGCAGTATGAGTTTTAAAGCCGTGGCAAATACTTACTAATTTTAATATTGTTATAATTTAACGAACTGGTTTGATTATAATATGTTGCAAAAAAGTCTCTCCAAAGTTTCCTGAGTGCTTTTTGCTCTCTTTATTTTCCGTGTGCTCACTGCTGCACAGGTACAGGGCTCTCTAAGTTCTGAATTTCAAGTGTTTTGCAATGTGCTGTTGATAACAATGGAAACAATTTTCCATTCAACCCTTGCTTCTTATTATATTTTTTGTTACACTTACAGATTAGCAAGTGAAGGGGTTCCTTTGTATCCTTTCCCCCTAAGTTTTACCTATTTTCTTCTGTAGATTATTTTACTATTTTCTTTTTATTTGCTATCTAAAAAAACCTAGATAGTAGGGTGTTTTGGTTTTTTTTTCCAAACCAGGAGAGAATTACTGGATTTATATCTTTCCCAGAGTCAACGAAAAATTTCCTGTAAGAAAAAAAATGAGTTGTCTAGGGGGAAAAAAAAAATCTTGCTAAGCAAAATCCTGCACCTCTCTTTCCTCTCCTAGGTATGCTGTATTAAACTGCACGTGGAATGCTTTTTTTACTAATTTCTGTTATTTTTCATCCTATAGAGAGACTTATTTCTTCCAGAACTCACCCGGAGTTTATAGGAATGCTGAGTTGTCATGCAGGAGTTTTACCTCACACTGGGGAGATATTAGCTGATAACATCCACCTTGTTTAGATTTATTGCTTTAGCATATTTCATGCTAAAAATATATATATATATATATTTTTTTTTTTTTTAACCATCTGCTAAGATTAGCACCGGAGTGGTAATAAATTCACTTACCCCGTTACTGCGGTGTAGTTTGGAACCATCTTACACCGCGCTCGGCCTAATTGAAAATAGGATAAGATAAATGATGCACTTTGAATTTCTCCCTCAGATGTACCATTGTTCATTACTTCAACAAGGGATGAGCACATCTGATTGTAATTTCAATTGTTAAGTGAAACAAAAGTTTCCATGGTGAAAGTATGGTACCAACAGCTGTAATTGTCTAAGGGTTACTCGTGAAAATCTCAATATTGTTTCAGTAATAAATGCGGGATTGTTTTGCATTTACACACTTGTTTATCCTCAGACCCTAATGGGAAAGGGGTGAAGTCAAAAAACACGCTGGGGAATTCAGGCACTGCGTGGAATGCGATAGCTGGGCTGAAAATGTCTCTGCATATTAAAATAGAGAATATTTCAGTAGCGATCGCTACTGCAAAAAAAAAATCCACCCAGCTAAACAGCACTTTGTGCCCCCACTTTATTAACCGTGATTGGACTGGAGAGTGTTTATAAAATAATGATTCGGTTTGGTTTGGCTCCTGGACTCTCCCAGGACATGCCCAGCACTGATGTCTCTGACATTTACTGTGCAAGTGCTTCAAACAACAGCGTCTCTGTAAAAGTGGGGGGGTGTTCCTTGTTCTATTAACGTAAAACATCAAGTACTAAAGAAAAATACTCGAGTAGGAGGTGCTGACCAATGGTGTGGGAAGAAACAAGAAGGGCTACAAGCCATTCTATCTGCCTGCTGTTTCTGCCAGTTTATTATGTGGTCTCATCATTTCATTTTTTAGAGCTCACAAATGTTTCTTTTTTTGTGTTCCGTGGTCAGATGGTGATCCCTTCCTTTACGGTATTTGAAATGTAGTCTGTAAATCACATTCTTCGCTTCAGCGTTTACTGCGAGTTTAAGATAAATAAGTATATCAGTAGATAAAATATTTACAAAAGGACAGACTGATGATGCGAGGGAGGTAAGTGAAAACACAGGAGAAGTTATGTACTTCTGGGTCTTTTTCTTTAGATAGAAGTGTGATTTTTGTGTTGGTGGTGTCTGGTTTTAACATTATGGCGATGTAAGGCCACATCCTATTTAATTCATTCATGAAATTAATTCCATTGACTTGCTCGAGTAAATAAGGTCAGCAAACCTCTATCCATAAGTAATCCACAAAGCTGACTTTTTCTTTTCAAGTATTAGAATAACTTCAGGGCTGTGCAGAAGTGGAGATATCTCTGGGAATGTCCTTGTTTGGAACATGGTTACAGGACAAGGGGGAATGGATTCAAACTGGGAGTGGGCTTAGATTGAATATTGGCAAGAAAATCCTCCCTGTGAGGGTGGGCAGGCCCTGGCACAGGTTGCCCAGGGAAGCTGTGGCTGCCCCTGGATCCCTGGAAGTGTCCAAGGCCAGGCTGGACGGGGCTTGGAGCAACCTGGAATAGTGAAAGTTGTCCCTGCCCACGGCAGGGGGTGGCACTAGGTGGGCTTTAGGGTCACATCCAACCCAAACCATTCTGTGATTCTGTGATTTTATGATTTTACTTGCAAAGCTCTTTTCATCCTTTGAGTAAAGTCGTACCCAAAGAGCACAACAAATACGCAGCTCTGGTATTTTCACCCTTTATTTCATAACAAATCCTTTGACTGATGCCCAAGTTCTGACTGTGTTTGTCTCAGGGAAACCCCCCCGCCTCCCCCTCGGCTTCAGTGGGCGTTGTGCCCATCTCCAGCCTCTCAGGCCTGGCTGGTGTTTTGCAGCCGAGCTGTAAATCCCTGGAAGCAGGGGTTTGGGGTGGAAGCACTGGCAGCACCTCGATGGGAGGGATACGAGTGGCTGTGCTCTCTCACTGCCACCATTGCCAGTGTCTGTTACCGAAATTGGTGTTGTATCTAAAACAATTGCTGTTATTAACAGGTTAAGCTGCTGGGATGTTAAAATAAAGGCTGCCCAGCTTTAGTGCATTTTGTTGTAATCATCTCCCAGATGCCTTGTCGGAAATCAATTCAAGTTCAAAACTGGCTGGAATTGGGAGGTCAAGGCTTCTGCAGACTAAATATTTTATCTTCTGCTCATGTCTGGAGCTTTTAAAGCTGTGTATTGGGGGCTCTTTCCTCGTATCCCATCTGGACAAAGATGATTGGCTTTGCCATTTTGCCCAGGTTAGGACAAGGTTAAAATCAATTATAATCAATTATTAAAAGTCTTCTGTGACTGCAAAGCTTAAAAGGGGATTTTAAAAGTTGCTCGGTTCTGAAACAAGAATATCTTAGCTGCTAGAGCAGATGTCATTATTCTGGGATATCAGATGTAAATCCTATCTGCACCAGTAATAAATACGCAGAATTCCTTCATCTTCTTCTTGTCCTCTGTGTTTTGGAAGAAATACTTAACAATGGAGCTAGGGCTGTAGGGAGTAGAGATTCACTGTGTTACAAAATCTAGCTGTCATCTCCAGGTATCCGAATGAGAGGGAGCTATTTATAATTTGGTGAACCAGGTGTGTTTTTTTTTTTTTTTTCTCCCCAGAAATGTATTCAGGCTTCCTCCGGTCTTCAGAACTCAAATGCTAATTTGCTAGCATGTTTGGGGAACTCCGTGCTTTTATCTTAAAATACAATAGTGTTTATGTATTATAATCCACTCTGCCTGATGTGCTTGAATATACAAGCTCGTTGCCTCTCCCTGGGAGTGAATCAGTGGTTTTGTTTGGAATAACTTTTGATGTTTGGTGCCATTCTTCCCATGCAAATCACATTCCACGTTCTTCTCACGGCTTCTGAGTGAATGAGTGAGCACATCTCTTTGTCCCTCAGCACCGTTGTTTCCTTGCCTTTGAACGTAATATTTATACTTCCGTTTTACATTTGAGAGAATTAGGAATAAAGAATCCGAGCCTGGATTTTGGAGGGAGACGAGTCAAGGAGGGAGGAAGGATGTGCTGCTGAATGTTAAGGCCTGCCCACAAGAAATGTGTGTTTACCTGTTTAATTCTGAATTAATGAAT